CCGGCCGTCCGCCGGAGCACCCGTGTCCGGAGCCCTTCTGCCCGCTCCGGCCATCCGCCGGAGCACCCGTGTCCGGAGCCCTTCTGACCGCTCCGGCCGTCCGCTGGAGCACCTGTGGCCGAAGCTCTTCTGCGGCCCCGTGGCTGGTCAGATCCAGTCACCCATCCTCCGGACCCCCTCCGCCCACCCTGGTTGGCTTTGTATCTGCTGGGACGTCCCTCCTCCGGACCGCCTCCGCCCAAGCTTGTTTGTTGTTCTGGACGGTGTAGCTACGTCTGGAATCCGTTCCTTGAGGAGGAGGGAGGGGGGGGGGGTACTGAAAGGATCCCTGTCAGACCAGACACCTCCCATGGCCACACAGCTGCAGCCGATTACCTCCTGCAGGCTGACACACCAGACTCAGGTCCCACTAATGCTTCCCCTGGCACTATATAAACTCTGGTCCTGCAGTCTGGGGTTGTCAGGTCGTACCGTCTTTCACCCGCTTCAACCCCGTTGCAGCTTCTGCCTCAAGCGCCTGCCTCCGGTGTCCGTCGGTCCGGGAATCCAGTGTGCCCTGCTTTGTGTTTACGGACTACACACCGCTGCTCTGCCCTCTGTTGTGTTAACGGACTACACACGTCGTCAAGCTGCCAGCTCTCCGGTGTCGAGCCACGGGACATCACGCCGTCAAGCTACCAGCCCTCTGGTGTCGAGCCACGGGACATCACGCCATCGATCTGCCTACTCTCTGGTGTCGAGCCACGGGACATCACGCTGTCAAGCTGCCAGCCCTCCGGTGTCGGACCACGGGCTCCACACCTTCCTGTCTTCTTTACTCTGGCTAAATAAAGTCTGTTTCACCGTACTCTGTCTCCTGTGGTCTTGCTATTGGGTCCTAACCGTGAACTCCCGTGACATGCTCCCATTGATCGCTGCAAATTACTGGTTGTCAAGCAAGGAAACTCAAATGATTGACCAGCAAGTTCAAGGTTGATCCATACTGATGTACAGCATCATCAATACATCCCATGAGTGACACACACGCGCGCGCATGTGGTTTAGGAATACGAATGTGCGTGTGTGTCTCTATTTTTTTTTTTTTTTTTTAAAACTTCCAAGCTCAAACACACACATCAGAAGACACACACACATGACAATGATGAAGGCTAACCAGCAGCTGAGGAGACATTAACAGCTGGATCTCCAGACTCTCAAACCAAGTAAAACTTTAGTAATATTGGTTTAAAAACATACTACATAATACATTACATACAAATGGCAGAATAAGGAGCAATTGATTTGCAGATAATAAAACTGCAGATAATATAATTATGTTCACCCAAATCAACTGGAGTATTTGTGACAACACGTGTGCTCAGCATAGATGGGAAATATTATCAAATCGTGCATTTAAACCAGTATGAGCTACTACTTTTAAATACTTACGTTCCGGAATATATCAATTACGAGTTATTCATTTGATCTAGCTCTGAGACGGTTGACGGCACACACCGACACCTCTTTATCGCCCTAAAAACCCACAGGGAGAGGAGCGCACACTTTAATCTCGTAGCCAGCGAGGTAACAAAAACAAGCAGACCCAACGACACGGAGGACATATTTTCTGTGCCAGTTTAAGTGTGGTTTTCAGACGGAGAATTAAAAGGACTTCACGTGAAAAATTTCACAACAAGCTTTGGACCATTATGGACTAAAGGAATATTAAAAATGAGGAAAGGACACACATTCACCACTTGTTTTTTGTCTCTCTTGTTTACCATGCTGATACATTTGAATGTATTATATTTTGGTGCTCATGAAGTTTTACAGTAATTCTACTTAGTTAAGACTTTTTTGCATGGGGGGAGGCAAAGTAATAATACAATCTAGACTGCTGCTTGACTGGTGCAGTTTGACCCGTGTGTGTGTGTGTGTGTGTGTGTGTATACCTGGTAGTACGTCCTGATGTGTCTGGTGAGAACGGTCAGGTTGTATAGGCGAAGAGACACGTCGTTGTTCACGTTCTTGTTCAGCCTCTGATTGGTTGGGCTGGGGTCGCTATGGGGGGACACACACACACACACACACACACACACACACAGATTAGATTGACGTTACTTGTTGCTTCTTAAGACAAAGATCTTGTTAATTATACACACAAAGGCACACACATTCCAAGTGCAGGGTAACTGTTGTGTTGGAGAGACATCAGCCCGTGCCAACACATCAGCCCGTGCCAGACTGATTTGCATGTGAACAGGGGGAGGGGGTAACGCTGTCTGGCTGACTTACAAAAACATGACGTCAGTTTGATTCCGTTTTTTCCATTTTGCTTGACCTAGCACACACACAGTAAATATTTAGGGCTGTAAAATAAAATGTATGATGGCGTTTGTTACCTCATGTGTAGTTTTTTTGTATTCTCACAGTTCAATTGGCTGTACACCAGGCAAAGAAACATCAGTTTGTCACGGTCAGCCATGTTTTTCTCTTTACGGTTTGGCGTCATGCACCTGGAACGCTTGGAACTGGGACTGACAGTTCCACTGCTTTCATTTGCTATTCTTTTAACCAATGTTTCATCTCCTTCGGTGGTTAACCGACGTCTCAAGTCTGTTCACTTCAACTGACACTTCAAACCAAAATGTGACACGATATCAGGAAACGGTGAAATAGAATTTATGACAGAGAAAAACAGCAACGATTCCTCCCCCTGGCGAATCAGAAACCACAGAGCGAGGGACATTTTTAGTTGAAAACTATTTTGACTGATAATCGATAAATGAACTGGAAACTTCAACAATCACAAATGACATCTTCTACAGCTTTGTCTTTCATCACCTAGCCTGCACTTCAACTTACACTTCCAGCTCAATTCATCACTTACAATGCTTTTAACTCCTTTCAGCACTTTCACTTCACTCTGCACTTATTTCCTTTGACACTTGGACCCTTTCAGATCTCAGATCTTGATAAGACAAACTATAAAACACATACTGCTTTCAGTGCTTCCACTTCAGCAGAAACTTCAATTGTTCAACTAATTTCTTCATCACCTCCACTTCCATTGACACTACCAACTCAATTTATCACTTCTACTTCCACAATTTTAACTCTACTAAAACTTCATAGGCACTTGAAGTAAATTGACACTATTCAGTTCACTACAGTTACACTTTAACTTCTTTTCAGTGCGTCCATTTTAAAAACGCCATGTCCACTCCCTTCAGTGACTATATTTTGACTACCACTTCAACTTCAGCCTATTTCAGTGTTTCCTACTTTTTCTAATGTTTCAACCGCTAACAATCAGCAATGCTACATTTTCTTCAGGAAATGTACCCTGTTTTAGTTTTATTCCCAGTCCACAAGTCCAACACAGTTCATTGAAGATGTCCTCATTAAATTTCAATATCATTGCAAAGTTCTGCTCCAGCTTAGAAGGTCAGAGAGGAGAATAGGTTTACAGACTGACTGCTTCTCTGACTGACTGATTTACAGACGCTCTCCGAGTGGTTTTCCAGTAATGTTCCTCATGGCACGGCCACCCCGGCCTCCTCCTCTGTAACCCACTTTCCCCTAAACCCCTACCAAGTCCTAATCCCCCCCCCGAGATAGCCCAGCCTACATTCAGTGTGTGGAGAACAATAGGGCGATTATCATAGTTTCTGAAGACAATAACTATGTGGTCTGATTGGGGCCAGAGGGCCGTCTGGGTGGGAGGAGTGGGTATGTTTTGTTTTTAATCACTGTGGACAGTATTAGTGTCCCTGTGGTCCAAATGCTGTCTGTCCAAACCAGAAAGAATTAAAGGAATAAGCGTATAGATATTTTATTGTCAACAAGTCCCATGAAAAGAGCAAAGCCAACAATGAACGTGTCCTACTAACAAGTGTTGTGTGTGTATCCAAAGCCTGATACATCTTATTCCTCAGTGCCATAGAGCTCCTCTGAAGACGCATCAATGAGCCACAAGGCTCCATGATCACCACGAGCGTACTTACAAAGCCTGGTACAGTAAGAAGTATCATCCTATCATAAGCCTCATCACACCACATTCTGCTGTCAGAGATGGACATCCTGCACTCTTACCGAGTCAGCAAGGGCTGCATCACCTTCATAGCTGGGCCCGATTCTCTCAGTGCGTCTCTAGCTTAGCTAAATATGCATAAACTGAATATGCTGAGAGATGTTGGCCCACACTCTTACCTGTCTGCAACAGGTGTAATTCCTAAATCACAGCACAAACAGACAGCAGCTCAGCTCTAAAGGGACCGGTAATGATCTCTCATACTCTACTGTTTGTCTTGATGTAGACTTCAGCAGCACATCTGGCTGTGACGTTTACAACCTGAAACCAGCGCGTCAGGATGTGGTCGCAGAGACACACATACACACACACACACAGGAAACACTGGATTAACTCACTTGCCGTTCATAAACCCACTCCAGACACGCCAAAAGAACCGCCGACTCATACAAATTAAATGTTTAAACTTTCACTCTGTGGCGTTACTTACATGTGTGTCATGATCTTGTGCAGGAAGACGCCGTCCACCAGCTCCATGAACGTGTTGACGCTCTTCTCTGAGCCCGCGTCGTCGCACGAACCCAGAGGACCCAGCGTCCTCACCTGGGGACAGAAAGAGAAGTCAGCTACATGCCACCGACACACGTCAACTGATCTTTTTTTCCCCTTCAACTTAATATGCTGGCTGATAATATGCGTTATGCTGTCCTGCTGAATCACCTGGGCAATCCTTCCTTGTTAGTGACACATTTGTTATTAAAAAGACGACAGCTGAACATTGGAATACATCTTTGCACAGAAAAGGACTGTGGATATTGTCCTCCATTGCTTACACAGAAGTTTGTTTGGAGGGCATCTATTCGTGGCCAGCAGGAACAATAACAGTCACCAAAAACCCTGTTATTGTATTAATGGGCATGTCAGCAATGTTTTAAGACAGACTTGAACCTTTCTTTCAGAGCTATGCTGGAATTAAAATGCACTACATTACATATTTCATCTTTTTTAAAGCCTAATTATTGAGTTTTTCTTTGTTTGCTGAGAGTAATGCTCTCTGTTGAAGGCCCTGCTGGCGCTCACACAGTGACACAGCTGGAAGCTGCCCAGTACAACCACAGTCTGATCCGCTGCTGGCCACCGAGTCTGATTGTCTGTGTCTGACAAAACCTCCCTCCCAAAGCTGGGAGAAACTGTTGGTTGAGCGGTCAGGTCAACAGGATGTGGTCACAGGGAAACAGGAAGGACCACAGAGTTAATAACCTGTTGACTGCTCCGTGTGGGTCGTCACAGCCCATTGTGGGCCAGCAGAAGGATTACAACTGTCCCAGACTCTTAGGACACTGATATCTAAAGTAAAGTCGACTAAGGAATGAATAGATTTTATCCAACTTGTTTTGTTGCTTCCTGTTAATGTTATGAAACATATTTTCACAGAAGAGCACTGTAAAACAAATATATAATTATAAGTTTGCAGTTGGGTAAAATAACGCTGCTTTACATTGGATTCAGTTGACATTAGTTTGTGCTTAAAGCTGTGCTGGATTAGGGAAATCAGATGCAGTGCTGTTGGCTCAGATGGACAAGTTGTTTTCAACACATTCACCCCTTTGGACCAGGGACATGCAAGGCAGCTACAATCACTCACACCCTGAAAATACTTGGTGGAAAACTTTAGTGCATTTTATGATTTTAATGGCAAAAGATGATAAAGAGGTAAAGAAACAGCGGTAACTGAAGGACTGTGGCCAGTAAAGCAGAAGAAACACAGAATTCACTTTTTTCTGTTTGGCAGTATGAGATCTAAACTTGGAAAGTCCCAGAGATACAAACCAACATCTCTAAATATACAGTTTATCTGAGGCTTTTATACTGAAAATCTTGCCCCTGTCACTGTAATGCATCTGTCTGAGCAGTGTCAATAAATGGGTTAATGGTGCACGAGAGAGCAAAGTACTACATAATGGTACATTAGAGGTCAAAGTACTTTGTTTTTCTACTAGTTAGTCGGGTAGTTCTTCTAAAAAAAAAAAAAAAAGTGTAGTTGAACTGAGAGAAACAGTAGAGGGAAAGTACAACAGAGACACGAGTCGGCAAGTCGCGTGCATCACCGCACACACAGTTGCGTGTGTGTGCGCGCGTGCTGCTCTCACTCACCCACACCACCAGCGGCGACTCCATGAAAGCGGCCAGCAACTCGGACAGAGTCATGTCCATGGTTGTTCCAACAGCTCCCGAGTCCGTTTATCAATCACCAAGCAATCATAAATCCACCGGCCGGTCAGTCGATATCCGCAGCAGGCTCGCGGACAGAACAAAGCCCCCGCGAGGCATCGATTCCCCCCTGCACGAGCTCTTTCTCACACCACTATTGTCTCGCGCTGTCCCGTTTCCCTAAACACTGGGTTTAAAATGAAAAGCGTTAAATATGAATAAAAACTGTTTGAAATACTTCCACAAACGCCCATATGCACCACGCTGGCCGTTCCGTTAGCTTGGAGGGTAAATATGCAGTTTATTTTCCGGTTGAATGTGTAACACTTGATCCAAACTTCGCAGGACAGTTGTTCGCGTTTCCAAGGATACAAGACTCTGACCGTAAAGCGGGGAAACGGTCGTGAAATACGAAAAGTAAAGTAAACAAAGTTGAGAAAAGTCAAATGCGCGGTAGAGGCAAACAGAGAATGTTAAAAAATATATGTTTCCGTTGTTTGCTACATCTTCACCACGTCTCTCTACCTCTCTCCTCTCCTCTCCATCAACCTGACTGTGTGCGACCAGCAGGAGGGGAGGATTGACCGACAGCAGGACCGACCAATCCGCTACCGTAAAAAGCGCGGTCCCCGCCCGTTGCGTTAAATCAGCCAATTACAGTGCAGTAATTTGGCAGCGTTTTCTCTGAGCTTGACGTCACCACCGTTTGCCACCAACCGAAGACCTTAGACGGAACAAGATAGTAATCGTCCTCAGAACGATAGAAGATTAACGTTTTTGTTATTTTTAAATTAGTGGATTTCTGTGATTTAGGTAATAGTAGTAAGTGAGTTTATTTTAGTTGATGTTATAGTTAATGGTCTTATGATGTTGACTTTACATTCTTTGCATATATTTTTTGTTGAACAGAGTTTCTTAAAGCGGATTACAAAAGATAACTATAACAAACCATGGCTGTATATTTGTGTTGATTAGTGTCTTGATATTCTGGTATATTAATTATGGTTCCAACTATTGTTAGTTCTTACTTGTGTTAGCTAGTTAGCTAATTGTAATTTTAGCTTTTCAAGCAACTATTTACTGTTTACCAAACTCAGGCAGTAAATACAGATTGGATTAGCAACAGTTAGCTTACCAGCTATGTGCTTAGCTCCCTAGCATGTGTTTAATTAATTACACTTCATAAACCTTTTTCCCAGCACACATTTTGTTTGTCATGGCAGTAAAAGCACAGCTGTAAATTCTAACACATGATATGGCTCATTCCATTTAAATGTCCCAGTAAGCCAACGGGGTCTATTCTGTGTTCATAAGCAAGGTTAGTTTATCTGTAATTTAGTTAGTTAGTTAGTTAGTAACAAAGGTTAGTTTATCTGTAATTTAGTCAGACAGTTTTTCACTCACTTTTGTCTGCAAAAACAAATGTTTACAAATAGCTGTAGGGTTATTTATTTTGTCTGATACCATAGTTGCTATGAATATATTTCACAATGTTTGACCATTTGAGAATGAAAAAATAAAGGGATAGATAAAAGACCAAACTTCATTTTATGAATATTTTACTGATTTTACATTTTTTAAAGGACAATCTTTCCACCCTGTCCATGGAATGGGATCCCTACTTATCTTGGGGTTAAGCCAAATAGTGGATTCAGAATTATGATATGGATTGATCTAAAATATAACAGAGACTTTTCTCCATGATAAGATAAGATGTGATTGAAGATCAGATAGCGATTTACATGGCAGATATGAAAGAGAAGGCTCTGTCCTATATCATAGCAACATTACAGGAAAGATTATATAAAGTATGGATTTCAAGGCCTTGTGATTTGCTTCATATGACGAATGCAAAGAAAAAAAGAGAGAAAGAAAAAGAGGATAATAGAATTTAAAAAAAGTAAAAACACTTCCAGTAAACTTGTTTGAGTGGAACTGGTTCTAAGTGGAATTTTCCCTTAAAACTAACACAGACATGGGTTGGGGGTAAATCTCTTGCTCTGCATTGAGACTATCTGACTGCTCCTCAAACAGGTTGAAAAGGAAAGCGAAGATCAGCTCAGATCAAACGGATACAAAGGCCAAATGCAAAGTAGCAGCAACTGATGACAAAGGATTTCTGTGTGTATTGTACTTTTTATATTTTTTATATGAAGTCTTCAACTTTATGTGAATGTTTCTGGTTACTTTGTAGAGTAAAGCATTCAGTAAACATGATCCTCTGGCCCAGTCCAAGTTGACGGACCTTTACAGAGGAGTATAATGGGAGATTTGGATGCTGATCTCAGTGCAGTCTGACAGTGGGGGAGTACAGGGTGGATCCGACCTGGAGAAAGTCAGTCCGGAGTATGCTTTTGATTTTGGCATGATCAGAAAGGAAAGAGGCCAGTTCACCGGCTTCATGTCCACAAACAGAGCAAACACCTAGTCGACACTAACGGAGCTCAATACAAGCAAAGCACTGTAGCTGCTGCAGTGGTGGATCCGGGGGTCTACTGTGGCATGGAAGTGGACTTTGTTCCACTTCAGAGATCACACGTGGTAAAAATAATAATCTGTAGAACAGCGCCCCCCTGTGGCTCATGTATTCTAAAACACCTGACCTCTTACTAGAAAGCCAGTGGTCAGTTGGACATGTAGTGAAAGGATATGCTGCGAAAGCTAGAGGAGGGTTAGGGTGAAACCTCAAATAATAGTTTTCATGAATCCTTCAACTTTTTAAATTATGATTTCTTATTTTACATTAACTTCAGAAGAATTGAAATGGTGGTATAAATAACAGCAATAGCTGCGATATAGTGATACTTTGTACTTTGTGATATTGTGAAACAACAGTCTGAAGTTCTGAAGCGAGACATTATTGATCTGTTAAACACAGTCAGCTCTGTCAAGGCTGAGGTGTTTATCAGTGGCCCTCTTCCACCAGTCAGAGGAGGAGATGAAGGATTCAGCAGGCTGTTTGCACTGAACAAATGGCTGTCAACTGCATGTACTGACCATTCAGTACATTTTATCAACAATTTCTACCTTTTCTGGGAGCGCAGACATCTTTGTACAGCACATGGAGTTTGCTTGAACAAGTCAGGGGTAAAACTGTTTACCTCTAACCTATTTTTCTCCCTACGTCATCCGTCTGTTCCTACTGCCAAGGACAAGACACAAGAGGAGTCTAAACAAGAGATAACCACACAGCATCGCCATGGAGACCTTATGGGAAGGATGCCCCCTCCTAGCGACAGCCAAAAGGAGGAGTCTCCAACCTCATCATCAAGGACCGCCTCCGATCTCCCACTTTCCCTACCCTTCCGAGACGAGGAGTCTTTACCTACCTCCCCAGCACATACTTCCACCCCCCAAACTCCATCCACACTGAAAAAAAAGAGTTTTTGGCCCTGTAATTATTACCTCGATTATTTTTGTAAATTTTACAAGAAATTATCATTCCAGTGCTTTTACTTTAAAATATCACCTTTTATTTAATGTGTTACTTGGTGTTTGTTTGTAATTATGTATCCTCATTTTTATAAGTACATTTTAATCATTCACACTAAGTAATATCTACTAAACTACTGTATTGAATGCACTACCTGACACAACAAAGTAAAATGTACTTGGGTAATACGAGTAAAACCTGGCAACCTATAGCGCGTACTCAGAGGGTGACGTCAGAGGAGATTTCGCGCTCCTTTCTTCAACGAGACGACGGAACAGCAGAACCTGAACAAGGACGGCAGCGTTTCACCTGAGGAGAGGAACTTCATGGACGGGAGCCATTGGGGTAGGTTATATGTTTAATTAATGCTCTACGTTGCTGTTGAGCCTTCGGTCAAGTCTGTGTTTGAGTTGTGAACACTGAAGAGTAGCGAACTGGTCAGTTTAGCGTGCTAGCTAGTTAGGCTATCATGCTAGCTAACTTGGGACAGCATTACAGACATGGCTCACGGCGCTACATTTTGTGGACATGTTTTTGGTGGTTTTGGTCACGATTTTACAGGGTTCTCCCTTGGAAAGTTGTTGGCCTGGGGACACGGTGCTCGACCAGCTGCGCTCCGTCGACGAGGGGGAGGGGGAATTACTTCGGTTTTGTGAAGCCCACTATCAATATGAAGATTTAAGCCAAATTCAGATTTAATGTTGTGTGTTCATGTTTTAACATAATTTCTTGATATATTTCACAGAATATTAAAGGACGTTCACTCTCAGCAGGTTGACATCAACAGTTGACACAAGGTAAAATCAACTTAGTACTGTTATAGTTTAATTAACTTGACATATACATTTGAAGTCATAGTCCTCCCAGTACATTATACTGGGAGGACTACTGCATTAATTGTTTTAGCAAGGTACCTCATCTTGATCATGTTGTTTTTTATTGTCTTTTGTTTCAGATCAATGAGTTCAGAAGAATAACCACAGTTCATCTGGAGCGAAACCTTTTGTTGAAATTGGACAATTGCACTACCAACTTTCTTGAGATACTTGGGACAAAGGGCGGAGTTGCAGGAACAAAGACCCATGCTGGAATCACCCAGCCTGGTAAAGTTTAGATATCTAATATTATATAAAATTATGTTGGGCTCATATACACTGAGAATAGATGCATAATGACGCATTTGAACACATTCAATATTTTTGTTTGTTTCTCCCACTATTGTCATTTTTTGAGAACACATCAGACTCGAAGATGTAAAAGTGAACATTAGTAAATTTGAATTTCAAAGAAGTCATTGAAGAGGACTATGCTCAACATGTCATGAAGATCCTTGTCATCCATGGAAATGCAACACAGAAAGGCTTCACTCCTGACAATCGTGTTTGTCGTCAGAGGGAAAAGAGGTTCTTGATGACTGTCAAAGTGTGGCAAAGGCTTGCCTTCTGCTCATGGGCACTTATCTGTATCTAAGTGTTGTCAAGCAATACCCATCGTTTCAAATTAAAAGTGTTTGTTAAATGACTAAACGTTTGTTCTTAAATTTCTTATTGGCAGCACTGATTTAGAAATGTTTTGTCTGGCAATGCTAACCAGTTTATATATGTTGGCATTTGTGTGTGTCTGTCAGCAGTGACCTCTTTCACCAGTTAACAAGTAAAGCTGCTGTAGTTTAAAAGATGTTTTGTAGAAGCCTTATGTTAAGACAATTTTATTAAATTAACAGTAGCCCAGTTTAAAAAAAAAATGCAACATTCATATTTGAACAGTTGTGTAAAGATTACTATCAAAGGCTAAGTACATTTTATGTCTAAGGAAGACATTTGCAAGTAAAAGTTACTTGAAAATTTTGGATAAAAAACAATTCTTACCAGTAAGTAAACTTAACTTGAGAATTCCTGAGTAAAAATTACTCTGAATTTCTGAGTGCAAATTGTTACCTAGCTTTTTTTCAAGTAAATGTCACTTTATTTTTTTTTCAGTGCAGGTCCCTTTCCTCTCTCTCACACTCCCCATCCTCCCCCACCTGGAGTTCACTGACCACATGAAAGAGCTGGTCATTGCTGGAACCAAATACACTCCTCGCCCCACTCCTCGACTTCACAACCATCCTCTAACTCCCCTACCTGATAAAGGCAATAATTGATATCTTCTGGGTCCAGGCTACAAGGCTAATGACACCAATGACTCTCTCCAGGAAAAGTCGGGGGCCCTGTATGCAGCTAGCCTTCTCAATTCCTGTCCTGCAAGTTTATAGAAAAAGAAAGGTGAGGCTGCGAAGAAACAATAGTAAACCTGCAAACTTATCAAGCTTAACATACATTCCTCGTCAGCCTGTCCAAATAAATTGGGCAAAGAAAGCTTTAACCACATTAAACTTAGCTTTATTAAATGTCAGGTCTCTGTCAGGAAACACATTTTTAATCAATGATTTTATTGTTGGGCACAAACTGGACATTTTGTTTTTAACTGAAACATGGTTAAATCAAGATAACAGTGCAGCTGTTCTTATTGAATCAACACCTCACAACTTCAGTTTCATGAGTGAAACGAGCACATAAAGGAGGTGGAGTTGCTATTTTATTTAATGATTCTCTTCAATGCAAGCAGATGTCCTTTGGTCATTTTAGTTCTTTTGAATATGTGGCTCTGAATTCCACTCAAGCTTTATTGCTAAACATTTACAGACCGCCTAAATACTGCGCAACCTTCTTTGATGAGTTTACTGAACTGCTGTCTATAATCTGTATTGATTTTGACTGTGTTGTTATTGTTGGCGATTTTAATATCCATGTTGATAATCCCCAGGACAGAGGGTCTATAGAACTATGTGGTGTCCTTGATAACTATGATCTGACTCAGCATGTGACAGGATCCACACACAACAGGGGGCACACTCTGGACCTAATCATCACCAAAGGTGTAAACATTTCCAAGGTCGCTGTGACTGATGTTGCACTCTCTGATCATTTCTGTGTTTTCTTTGAGAGTGCGCTGGTCAAAATAGAGAAACGAGTGTGTCGGAAAGCTGAGCGCAGGTGGCGAAACACTAATCTCCAGGTTCACTGTGACATCTAAAAAGAGAGAATTCGCAATTATAATTTGGAACTTAGAAATGCAAGGCAGTCCTTCGACATCATAACCAAAAACAATAACAATACACGTGCCTTATTTGCTACCGGTCGACAGGCTAACAAACCCTCCAGTGTCGGTAGCTGCTGAGCTCCAATCCACCTGGGCATGCAATCAATTTGCCTCCTTTTTTACTGACAAAATTCAGAATTCAAAATTCAGCAAATTAGACAAGCAGCCTCCACACCAACCACAGGATATGTGTTGTCCCCTTCTCTAAATAACATCCATTCAAATATCATGACACAATTTCATTCAATCGACCGTAGAAGCCTAGAAGACATTATACAACATCTGAAGTCATCCTCCTGCTGCTTGGATATTCTACCAACACACTTTTTCAAAAATATTTCAAACTGCATGACCACTGATCTTTTACAAATTGTAAACACATCCCTTCTTTCAGGTGTCTTCCCACAACCCCTAAAAACTGCAGTTATTAAACCGCTCCTAAAGAAGGCTAGTTTAGACTCCGCAACAATGAAAAATTATAGGCCAATATCAAACCTCCCATTTTTAAGTAAAATAATTGAAAAAGCGGTTTTCCAACAGCTGAACAACTTCTTGGCCGTAAGTAACTGCTTTGATGTCTTCCAGTCAGGCTTTCGACAGCACCACAGTACTGAAACTGCTCTTGTTAAGGTTTTCAACGACATCCACTTAAACACAGACAATGGCAGAATTTCAGTCTTAGTATTACTGGATCTCAGTGCTGCATTCGACACGGTCGACCATGCACGGTCGACGAAAAATCTGGGTGGGACTCTCTGGCACAGCACTTAACTGGTTTGAATCATACTTGAAGGACAGAGAATACTTTGTGTCTGTAGCTAATTACACATCAGACCTGACTAAAATGACATGTGGTGTTCCCCAAGGTTCAATACTGGGGCCTCTTCTGTTCAACATCTACATGCTTCCACTAGCTCAGACTATGGAAAACAACAAAGAGTGTTATAACTATGCAGACGACACAAAAATCTACATAACTATGTCACCAGGGGACTATAATCCCATAAAAGGGCTGGGTAACTGCATTGAACAAATCAACAACTGGATGTGCCAGAATTTTCTTCAATTAAACAAAGATAAAACAGAAGTAATTGTTTTTGGTACCAAGGACGAACGATTGAAAATCACCGCCCAGCTTCAATCACTGATGTTAAAACCCACAAACCAAGCCAGAAATCTAGGTGTAGTTATGGATTCAGACCTCAACCTGAACAGCCATATCAAGACAATTACAAAATCAGCCTACTATCACCTGAAGAATATATCAAGGATTAGAGGACATGTCTCAACAGGATTTGGAAAAACTTGTCCATGCATTTATCTTCAGTAGACTGGACTACTGTAACGGTGTGTTTACAGGTCTCTGTAAAAAGTCAGTCAGAAAGCTGCAGCTGATTCAGAACGCTGCAGCTCGAGTCCTCACTAAGACCAGGAGGGTGGATCACATCACTCCAGTTCTGAGGTCTTTGCACTGGCTTCCTGTCAAACAAAGAATTGACTTTAAAATCCTGCTGTTGGTTTATAAAGCACTGAATGGTTTAGGGCCAAAATACATCTCTGATCTGCTGCTACCTGATGAACCATCCCGACCCCTTAGGTCGTCTGGGACTGGTCGACTTTCTGTTCCCAGAGTCAGAACTAAATATGGAGAAGCAGCGTTCAGTTGTTCTGCTCCACATATCTGGAACAAAGTCCCAGAAAGCTGCAGGTCTGCTGAGACCCTTAGCTCCTTTAAATCAAGATTGAAGACTTTTCTGTTTGCTGCTGCCTTTAATTGAACCACATTCAATTAATATATTAATCAATTTCCAAATACTGCTGATTGAAAACACGAAATTTAGTGATGTTACGTTACGATGTCTGAAAAGTCCTGGTAAACCGATAAAAAGTGTAAGCATCATTGAAAGACCTCAGAGAGGCCGGGTTAGAGTCCCGAGACGGGGTTGGAGTCCCGCGTCGAGACGGGGTTAGAGTCCTGCGTCCAATTGTCCGGGTTAGAGTCCCAAGGCGGGGTTGGAGTCCCACACTAAATAAGACCTCAGGGAGGCCGGGTTAGAGTCTTGCAATGTGACGTAATTTTAATTTTTTTATTTATTTATTTATTTTTTTGTGTTTTAATGACTTTATTGTTTCAATGTATGTTCTTAATTGTTTTTAAATATCCTTTACTTTTGCCTTATGTTTTGATGCTTTTAATGTTTTTATGTGAAGCACTTTGAATTACCTTGTTGTTGAAATGTGCTATACAAATAAACCTGCCTTGCCTTGCCTATCCATTCCTGACTTGATTCTGGGTGGATGAAAGTTTTTCTCATGGAAGTTAATTATTGCGCTTCGGAACAGTACGAGTGACAAAATACTTCAACTCAAAGGCTCACTCACTTACCAGCTTTTTTCAGGGCTTTCAACCCCATCTCATGGTCTTCCACGGCGTACGGACACTTCGGTGTCATGTGAACGAACTGGAACATCAGTCACATGATGGCCGTTTTTTGGCCTGGTGTTCCTCACTTAGGTCATGTGATGACGTTCCACTTGTTCCATTCACTGATGGAAACCATGAGATCTGGTTGAGTGAAATAGGATATTTTTTGTCACATACACTGTAAAAATCTGCAGGCAAATTCTAACATTATTGTAGCATTCTCCCAAAATACATTAAAATACTGTGTATTTTGATGCCTTTTAGAGGCAAAAACACTGAACATCAACAGCAGGCCATTGTACGAGTCAATGGTATTATGCAGTATTGTCATTTTAGCAGAAAAAATGGAGGGAAGAGGCCTCATGTAACCATCGGCATCATTTCATCACTGTTCATCCTGCTTTCTGGAATCAAACTAAAAGGTAAATAACATTAGGGGTGACCGTGGCTCACTGGGTTAAGAGGGTTGTCTGACAACCGGGAGGTCAACGGTTTGATCCTCAACTGGGACGGGTCACGTGTCAAAGTGTACCTGAGCAATACACTGAACTCCTGGGTGCCTGTCATTGGCAGCCCACTGCTCCATATATACAGGGATGGGTCAAATGCAGAGACACATTTCCCCCTTAAAGGGATCAATATAGTATAAAAAATTTAATTACAATCATTTTTTTTCAACATCTGGTTGAGAAGATAATATGATATTCAGGCATCTGGTTATCCAATTCACAGCACTGTGGAGATCCTTGGAGCAATGCAACACTACATCATTTGTGACTGAGGTTAAATTTAGAGATGCACTGATACTGATATCTGTCTGACACTGACTCACTGGGTCCAGAATTGGATATCATTCTTTTAAGAAATTAAGTGCATTTATATCCAGTTATTTGTTTCATGTTGTTTTACAAAGTGAGGAAAAGCAATGTTGAAGTAAAGCCTGATTTTGCCTCTTAAGTTGCCTTATACACATTAATTCAACACTGGTCTGGTATCAGATCAGTTCTAGGTATTGGCCGATAAAGCGCAGCGATCAGTATCGGGCTGAAAATGTCCTCGGATGAATTCTTGAACTTGAAAGGACAAAGAGGGAACCTTCAACGATGGATGTTCTTCCTCGCATGAGGAACATTTCAAGCCAAACTCCACTAAAGAATTTTTGCATCTGGCTTTCATTCATTTGAGTTACTTTAACATGTTAGTCTCTGTCTTGAGAACATTTTCTTGGCCAGATCTGTTTTGGAAAAATATGTACTTGAGGAAACGTTAAATATGTAAAACAAAATCTGTACATGAAGAAACCTCAAACAAACAAAAAACAAAGTCAGTTGTTTTCTATCAATCATCTATTTATTTATTTATTCATTGTGAATATTCATACAAAATGCAGATTTACTTAGGAAGTGATGTCTGATAAACAAGTGGTATCAATTAACTTTACATTCAATACAGTTAATTCCGCTTAGCTCCACACCCTCCTCCTGGACCAATGGCAGTTGAGGCAAAAGGTAAAACCTGCAATCCTATTGGTGCATTCTGGACTTCATAAATCTATTTTTCAATATTACAAATATATAAATGCTCTAGCCAGTGACGAGTGATATTTTGTCAGTTCATAATAATACTTTGCTGTCTACACACACACACACACACACACACACACACACACACACACACACGACTAAAAACTACAACTTTCACGTTTTCTGTACCTGCTCAGGTTCAGACGTCACTACTACTCAAATGTGATCAGATAGGAGCGTAAGAGTCCGAGAGGAAATATCAAGTGCTCTATTGCAGTAGCTTGTACTTTAACAGGAGAGCCGGTCAGAGGCTGTCAGTCAGTGTGAAGAAGGCTGCAGCTTCAGGCCACAGTGGACAGATTTTAGGGTAAAGTCAGCATCTAATGCTGTTTCGGTGTGTACGTACACACCTGTGTGCGTGTGTTCTTCATAGCAATAATCAGCGTGGATTTAAATCAGCACTTTATGAATCTTAGTGTGTCTGTGTGACTTTTCACATTTACTTCTCACCAGGGGCCTCATCTGTACTCTGTGCTCGGGGGGCCAACTTATTAACTACAACAACTAAAAAGCCATAACACAAAATTCAATTTTTTACACAGATTCTCGGCACTGCAAAAGGTTAAAATAATTGTGACTGTGATCATTTAAATATTTTGAATCATAGCGGTTGAAATGACGACAGAATAAAGGCAAAGGGTGCGTAACGAACGAGGCCTCACATTTCTGAGAAAGAGCTCTCAGAGGAAAGAGGGATTTGTCCAGGTCCATATTTTGGTCTCACTAAGAACTGTGAAGATAAGAAAGAGATGAGTGTCGTATCACTCGGGCACCAAACAAGATCTCTTTGTAGAGGGGTCCTCCCTTTGAGGAGGCCCTACACACAAAGCTACATGGCATGTATGTCATTAGGGCCAACGGGTCAATACATTCCACTATCCATACTCTCTGCAGTACATCTGAGTATTAGGGTCAATACATTCTACTATCCATACTCTCTGCAGTACAACAGAGTATTAGGGTCAATGTTAAGAAAAGACAAAGGTCATGATGTTATGAGAATAAAATTGGAATTACAAGAAAAGTCACATTTCAACAATACATTTATAATCTTATGGAAATAAAGTAATCATTTTCTGAGGGAGAAAACTGTTATTTCAAGAATATAATGTTAATTATTAATTAAAGGTGTAGAATTAAGTTGTAGTTTTCTTTTAATAGTTAAGGATGAAGTCATAATTGTATGATATAACTTGTACTAGTAAGGTGATATTTTGATAATTGAGTATTTGGAGAAACATTTTCCATGTTATGAAACAAGAAAAAATCCTTATATTATAGGATAATGTTAAAATTTTACTAAATCTAATATTCTACAATTTAAACTGTAAAATTACAAGATCTTAATATTAAAAGAGAACAGTTGATGGCAGTCTGTCGGCGTTTATGCGTGAGGGAGTATTGATGTTATAGATTTCTACAATAAGCACATTAATATCATATCTGGAAGGATATTGAGATGAAGTGAAACCCAACAATAGAGTCCAGTGGGTTTTATGGTGACAGGCAGCCAGAATCAGCTGTGTCAGCAGAACAGTATGCTGTGTATCCAGTCTGCTGGGAACGATGAAGCTAATGTCTGTCATCGTAAAGACACGCAGTCCTCCAAACCCATTCAACTAACAACTGTACAGTCGCACTATATAGTCTAGTTAGTTTACATACATGTGTTAGGATATACCAACACATGTATGTAAACTAACCTGTGCTGTTTTTATCCCAACATACAGCCTTTTGTTCTAAAAAAAATAAATTGTCACTGTAATATTAGGATTTTCTTTTCTAGTGAAAATCCAACTATATTTAATAATATTATGACTGTTGTTAATAGTCTTGACTTTTTCTTGTAAAATTAGAAATTGATTTCATAATATCAGGATTTTTTTCTCCCAAAACTACATTATCTTATAATATGATGGTTTTTTTTCTTAATTTATCTCTTAATATTATGACATTATATTGTAAAATAACAACTTTAGGTTGTAATATTGTGATGTTTTCCCATAAAATTACAACTTCATCTCTCAAAAGACTTGTAGTCTCGCTGCGGTGGCCCTAATACTCCATCGTAACGCAGCATCAGGTGTGTTGGACCGCTAAAAACGTGTACTCTGCTGTGACTCTCTCTGACTGGTGTGTGTGTTCTCTCAGCGCAGCCAGGAGCAGGGCACCCACTGGGGCTCAGTGTCCAGTTTATTGATGAGTCGTAGCAGCTCGTTGAAGGCTTTGTCCTGGTCCGCGTTGACGATGACGGCGTCAAACAGGTGACCGCAGCTCTGCTCCATCTCCCGCGCTTTCTCAATGATGTCCCGCAGCTCCTCGGGCTGTCCACAAAACACACACATTAGTGAGAAAAACAGAGATGTAAACACTGGTGATATTTATCTTTGACAGAGTGTAAACAGGCGGAGTAGAAGGGACACTGAATAAATACCTTGGGGTTCTTGTTGTCTTTAGCCAATAGGGCTCGGAGTCTTTCCTGGGAGGGCGGAGCTATGAAGATGATGTAAGGCTTCAAGTCAGAACTCCTGAGCACCTTAAGAGCCTACACACACACACACACACACACACACACACACACACACACACACACA